ACAATGAGGTAAAACTCACATAACCACTAAATGAGCCTCACCTGGTTCTCTGGAACAACAGCCTGGTAGAGACTGTGGCTGAAAAAGGGATTTAAGTTGTCAAAGTCTTCTACAACGATCTCAACTGAGGTTGTGTCGTTGTTTCCGCCATTGTCCTGCAACAGGAACAACAAAGAAAGGGATGGTACATTTATGATAGGAGTTAAATAAATCAGAGTGTATAAATATACTTTGTCTCTGTGTTTTCTTACCGTGGCAGTGACAATAAAATTGTACTTTGGTACAACGTTGTAGTTCAGAGGTCTGATTAACATAAACGCCCCGGAGTTTGATAAGGTAAAGTCTTGTGTTACTGGAGTCTAGAAGGAGAACAATGGCATCAATAGTCAGTGATATACAGAACATTTGTAGAAAACCAAAATACACTTAACTTTTTATACACTTAATGGGCTTAATTATCATAAAATTAGAATGGAAAATAGAATGATTTGGTAGTAAAAAGCATGTTTTTCAGGTCCGTAGAGCTAGAAAATATTAGAGAAAACACCAATCACTGTAAAGCGTGGTGGAGCAAGAAGTTAGTGTCAAATGTTTGTGCAGCAAAATGTTTTGTTTGTGCCTTTATATTTTTAAATATTTTAATAAAACATTTCCAGAGGTCTTTTAACCCTGACATTAACAAAAATCAAACTTTTGGTTTTGTGCAGCTAAGATTAATGTAGCACTGTTGATTGACACCATATTTATTTGATTTTGTAAATTATGAAGGGACTCATTGACCTTTGACCTCTGGAAGAATTTATTAATATGTAGGTTTGAGCATCAACAATTAAACAAAAAAATGTTGTTGCACAAACCTGCACAAATGTAGCACCATAACTATTTATGTGGCCCTATGGACTGTGGAGGGCCGGATTTGAAAGGATGTAAGGTTTTGGTTTTTCTGTGTATTAATTTAGGTTTCTGTGTTCAGTTGAGTCTCTGTGTTGTCCTGTCTACCCCTTGATTGTCCCCAGCTGCCCCTCATTTCCCCTGATAACCTTCCTTATGTATTTAATCTTGCCTGTGTCTGTGTTTACTGGTCGGGTTCTTGTCTATTGTCATTACGTCCAGAGGCGCAAATGCACATTATTCAGGTGGATGTGAAGACATAAATCGGTGCCCCCTCTCCCCCCCGAAGGAAGGAACGTCAGCGTAGAAAACATACGCTCGCTTTGAACATATTAATGAAAGTGTAAAGGTCAAAAGGTCAACCAGCCCCCCCACTTTTATGAAATCAAACAAAATTGGTGTCAAACATTAGTGCAGCAAAAATTTTCGTTTGTGCCGCTATCATTTTAAAGATATAAAGAAAGTTGGATTTCATAAAAGTTGGACAAATTGATTTTTTTCTCATCATTGTTAGCATCTATTTTACTTCTCATGTGCTTAACCTGCTGCAGGGTCGCTGCTTACATGCATAAAACATACTTTATGCTATTGGTATTGTTATTTAACAATACTGATTTCAAAGTACTTACATAGGAATATGTGAAGAGGTTGAATTCAGGTGTGCTGTCTGCATCCACGGCTCTCACTTGCAGAACCTCAGTGTTGACAACATGATTCTGAAAAACCAGACAACAGAACGAATGAGAGAGAAAATGAGAGATAAATGCTGCTTCCTCATTTCTTTGAGAAAACAATGAAGAGTGAAGACATAAAGTTTAAGATTTATTTTGATCATACTGAATAATTCATCACCATCAATTTTATTTCTGCCAATCACCTGATTCTTAGATGTATGAAAGGTTTACAGTTCCTTTGACTTACCTCTGAAATATTTTGAGAATAAAACTTCTTATCAAATACTGGACTGTTGTCGTTGACATCAGTGATTATCAGCCTGCGGAAGTTTCTGGACTGTAAAAATAGAAACAGAAAGTGACACTTTTTAGTTGTTCAATTAGTTTGCGATGTTTGCTCCGTATTTTGGAATTTCACTCACATTGTCACAAACCAAAGCGTAGTGCAGCACTCTATCAGTCTGCAACATAAAAACACAGAGGATGTTAGTTTTGCTGCAGCATGTTAGCATAAATTATGCTGAGAATCTCAGTGAAGATCTGCATTAAATACAAATACAAATAAACACAAATATTCAACAAACAAATTCAGATGCAGTAAAGTGGGGGAGCTTACCACAGTGAGGACGTCGGCGTCGAGCGGCTTCTTGGTGCGAACAGTCGCTGTGGTTCTCCCTGGAGTGGAGATCATCTCCAGAAACTCAAGATGCTCAGGTGACAGGTCAGGCTCCAGCGTCACAATAGTACCAACTGGAATACCGGACACCAGCTCCACATCACCTGCAGCAGCAAAAATAAATGACCCAATAAACTCAATTACCTCATGAATTCATGAAATCCAGCTACCAATAAATGATCTGTTTGTGTGACATGATAGAGAAAAGACTCAACAGAGGAAGTCAGATTTAATTTATCTATTTCTAATCTTAATTAAATGAGTGTTTTTATAATGTTACCTGTATATCCTTCATCCACAGGACCCAGATTTACAGTGGTAGACGCTGAACCACAGGTTATGGTGGTGCTACCTGCAGAAACATAAATAACTTTAAGGAAATCTGCAGAATGAGATCATTCAGGTTTTCCCCCTAAAGTTCAGAAAATATTGCTAATATAGATTTACACAATAGAAAAATCAAAGTATTTCTGTAAATGACAAATAAATGGTGAAATGCTATTATTGGGACCCAACAGTGACACATTGTGGTCATTAGTGCTTTTATTTTGAAGAATGGTACATTTCTTTGTCTTTTTTGTGACATGCTGCACTTCCTGATGAGACATTATGAGATCCTGAAGGAACCAGAGGGAAATCTTTAAAATAGAACCACTGGAAAGCAGAATGAGGTATAAACACAAACAACTGTGTTTGGTGATAAAAAAGGTTATTTGTTTATGTAAGAAGTGAGTTCAGAGCATTTCATGGCCAGGCTCCTGATTATCTTTGTCAGGTTANGTTGATCCCAGTGTCTCCATCTTGGGCCTTTATTGGTTCTGGTCGTATTTCACTGAGATCCCCGTCCTGAAACACAGTCAGTCTGTTCTTCACAACAATTCTGTCAGTTTGAAATAAATTTCTGCTTTACATCCAAACAATGAGGTAAAACTCACATAACCACTAAATGAGCCTCACCTGGTTCTCTGGAACAACAGCCTGGTAGAGACTGTGGCTGAAAAAGGGATTTAAGTTGTCAAAGTCTTCTACAACGATCTCAACTGAGGTTGTGTCGTTGTTTCCGCCATTGTCCTGCAACAGGAACAACAAAGAAAGGGATGATATATTCATTATAAGAGTTAAATAAATCAGAGTGTATAAATATAGTTTGTTTCTGTGTTTTCTTACCGTGGCAGTGACAATAAAATTGTACTTTGGTACAATGCTGTAGTTCAGAGGGTTCGTTAATGTAAACGCCCCGGAGTTTGATAAGGAAAAGTCTGGTGTTACTGGAGTCTAGAAGGAGAACAATGGCATCAATAGTCAGTGATATACAGAACATTTGTAGAAAACCAAAAAATGCTAAACTTTTAATACACTTAATGGGCTTAATTATCATAAAATTAGAATGGAAAATAGAATGATTTGGTAGTAAAAAGCATGTTTTTCAGGTCCGTAGAGCTAGAAAATATTAGAGAAAACACCAATCACTGTAAAGCGTGGTGGAGCAAGAAGTTAGTGTCAAATGTTTGTGCAGCAAAATGTTTTGTTTGTGCCTTTATATTTTTAAATATTTTAATAAAACATTTCCAGAGGTCTTTTAACCCTGACATTAACAAAAATCAAACTTTTGGTTTTGTGCAGCTAAGATTAATGTAGCACTGTTGATTGACACCATATTTATTTGATTTTGTAAATTATGAAGGGACTCATTGACCTTTGACCTCTGGAAGAATTTATTAATATGTAGGTTTGAGCATCAACAATTAAACAAAAAAATGTTGTTGCACAAACCTGCACAAATGTAGCACCATAACTATTTATGTGGCCCTATGGACTGTGGAGGGCCGGATTTGAAAGGATGTAAGGTTTTGGTTTTTCTGTGTATTAATTTAGGTTTCTGTGTTCAGTTGAGTCTCTGTGTTGTCCTGTCTACCCCTTGATTGTCCCCAGCTGCCCCTCATTTCCCCTGATAACCTTCCTTATGTATTTAATCTTGCCTGTGTCTGTGTTTACTGGTCGGGTTCTTGTCTATTGTCATTACGTCCAGAGGCGCAAATGCACATTATTCAGGTGGATGTGAAGACATAAATCGGTGCCCCCTCTCCCCCCCGAAGGAAGGAACGTCAGCGTAGAAAACATACGCTCGCTTTGAACATATTAATGAAAGTGTAAAGGTCAAAAGGTCAACCAGCCCCCCCACTTTTATGAAATCAAACAAAATTGGTGTCAAACATTAGTGCAGCAAAAATTTTCGTTTGTGCCGCTATCATTTTAAAGATATAAAGAAAGTTGGATTTCATAAAAGTTGGACAAATTGATTTTTTTCTCATCATTGTTAGCATCTATTTTACTTCTCATGTGCTTAACCTGCTGCAGGGTCGCTGCTTACATGCATAAAACATACTTTATGCTATTGGTATTGTTATTTAACAATACTGATTTCAAAGTACTTACATAGGAATATGTGAAGAGGTTGAATTCAGGTGTGCTGTCTGCATCCACGGCTCTCACTTGCAGAACCTCAGTGTTGACAACATGATTCTGAAAAACCAGACAACAGAACGAATGAGAGAGAAAATGAGAGATAAATGCTGCTTCCTCATTTCTTTGAGAAAACAATGAAGAGTGAAGACATAAAGTTTAAGATTTATTTTGATCATACTGAATAATTCATCACCATCAATTTTATTTCTGCCAATCACCTGATTCTTAGATGTATGAAAGGTTTACAGTTCCTTTGACTTACCTCTGAAATATTTTGAGAATAAAACTTCTTCTCAAATACTGGACTGTTGTCATTTATATCATTGATTATCAACCTGCGGGAGTTTTTGTACTGTAAAAATAAAAACAGAAAGTGACGGGTTTTAGTTGTTATTCAATCACTTTGTAATGTTTGCTTCATAATTTTTAATTTTACTCACTGTCACATCATTATTGCACACTAAGCTGTAGTGCAAAATTCTCTCAGGCTGCAACATAAAAACACAGAGGATGTTAGTTCTGCTGCAGCATGTTAGTATAAATTATGCTGAACATCTCAGTGAAGATCTGCATTAAACACAAATATCCAGCAAACAAATTCAGGTACAACAAAGTGGGGGAGCTTACCGTAAAGAATATATTGGCCTCGGCGTCGAGCGGCTTCTTGGTGCGAACAGTCACTGTGGTTTCCCCTGAAGTGAAGTTCAACTCCAGAAACTGAAGATGCTCAGGATAAATATCAAGCTCCAATCTCACACTAGTACCAGCTGGGATACCGGACACCAACTCCACATCACCTGCAGCAGCAAAAAATGATCCAATAAACTAAATTACCTCATGAATTCATTCATTGCACTTAATAAATTATCTGTTTCTGTAACATGACAGAGAAAAGGCATACTGAATGGAGCCAGTCAGTCTTAATTGATCTATTTCTAAACTTAATTAAATTAGTGTTTTTATCATCTTACCTGTATATCCTTCATCCACTGCACCCAAATTTACAGTGCTAGATGCTGAACCACAGGTTATGGTGGTGCTACCTGCAGAAACATAAATAACTTTAAGGAAATCTGCAGAATGAGATCATTCAGGTTTTCCCCCAAAGTTCAGAGAGGAAAATATTGCTAATATAGATTTACACAATAGAAAAATCAAAGTATTTCTGTAAATGACAAATAAATGGTGAAATGCTATTATTGGGACCCAACAGTGACACATTGTGGTCATTAGTGCTTTTATTTTGAAGAACGGTATATTTCTTCTTTGTGTTTTTTGTGACATGCTGCACTTCCTGATGAGACATTATGAGATCCTGAAGGAACCAGAGGGAAATCTTTAAAATAGAACCACTGGAAAGCAGAATGAGGTATAAACATGGACAACTGTGTTTTATGATAAAAAAGGTTATTTGTTTATGTAAGAAGTGAGTTCAGAGCATTTCATGGCCAGGCTCCTGATTATCTTTGTCAGCTTATAACTACACTGAACAAATATATAAACTCCCCATGTCAAATATAAGAATTTTTTGAACATTTGGGTTACACAATATATGGAGAAACTTCAAGTATTGATCTTCATATTGGCATTGATAACATCTATGGCCATTTGTAGCATATTGACAGTCCTTTGAACATAATGGGGGTCAGGTTGAGGAATTAGATTTTGACCCAGTTGGCTTCTCATAGGCGGTTACAGACAGTCTGAGGTGTGATGATGCGTTTGTTGTGCTGACCAATAGTCTCATCAGCTGTGTGTGTCGTTGGTCTTAGCCGATGGACGGACGAGCCGGATGTGGCCATCTTGTGGTGGAGTGGTCACACATGACCAATGAGGATGAGGTCAATTTGCAGTAGTGCCAGTCTGCTGGAAACAAACTCTTAAACGGCTGATGGTCCGATAATGGACACTGAGCCGTGCAGCTACTGCTCTAGTGGACATCCCTGCATCCAGTATGCCAATGGCACGTTCCTGAATAACTTGAAACATCTGGCATTATGACTTGTGACAAAATTTTATATTTATTGCCCCCAGTACAAGGATTGTCCAGTTATTGCTCATTTTGTCTGATCACCCTCTGGACATGCCCCACCCATGCACTGAGTAAAAGAACAACTCACTGAGTAATGCTCACTACTAAGTTGGATTAAAAATTATACACAAATCAAGAGAAATATTTCTTTTATCCAATAAAATGTCAGCAAATGCTAATTTACAGTTGGGTTGGCAGCAAGGTTTGTCATGGGGTGTTTATATTTTTGTTCAGGTTAAATTTTCAGACTCTGAATCTGGTTGTTCCATGAACACGGTTACAAACTAAAGTGGACCGGGCCTTTCAGTCGGTGGCCCCAAGGCGGTGGAACGGTTTGCTGTTGCAGCTTCGTTCTGCGACTCTGTGGAGGATTTTAAAAAGCAACTAAAAACATTTTAGTTGCTTATCTCTCGATTTGACTGTGTTTCTTATGTTGATTTAGGTTTTGCATGGTTTAAGGATGATTCCTAAGTTCCTAATGAAGCAAAGTACCAGCTGGGCAAACACTGAACCTCTGATTCTTACTTCCATGTCACCTAAAGTAAAAATAAGCAGTTCTTTACAGTTTCTGAAGATCAGATTCATTCTCAGTAATAAACTTGATGTTATCTGCATTACAGTAACATACAGACTTTTATATCACCTGCTGTCACTCTTATCTGCTGCTACCAGATCATTTATATGAGAAGCAAAGACAGTAGGAGACAAGACGTCACGTTGTTTAGCACCACATGGTTTTGGGAACCAGCCTGTTCTAGTCGTTCAGCTGAACACAAGATTCTGGATTTTGATAAACAGCTTTTAGATCATTATAAAATTTCCCGTCAATTTGTGTTTTTAACAACTGAAAACACAACAGTTTCCAATTAACAAAAGCTTCTTGAAAATCTATAAAGCAAAAGTAGATTTTCCTTCTAGTTTCCTGGTTTTATCTCTTGTAGTTAAATAATAAATATGATCTATACATATTTAGATCATATTTCTAAACCCATTCTGTTTCCCTGCCAATAAATTAAGTAAATGTAAATAATTAACCAACCTGTCATTGAGAACACTGAAATAAAGTTTATAGACACAGATTAGGAGGCTATAATCCAGTGGCACGGGGTTATAGTTTCATCCAGTTAAGGGATGAATGAAAAAAAAAGATGAACGTTGTGAGGGTGGGGTGTGGAGGAAAATTATAACAGGGAGTCTGTAAGAGTGACCCCCCCCACATCTATTGTAATCCACAGTTTGGGAACCACTGCTATAATCCATAGAAACTCATCTTTGTCATTCTGATTGAACCCTGTTCAAAACAAGTAAAACAAGATTATGCAACATTTGAAACAGACCAATTTATTTTAACACTTCATCAGATAAATTATCAGCCTGTGGCTTTCATAAGTTTAAACTTATTAATAGCTACTTTAAACCCACTTTCTGTAATATGAGAGTTTAAATACATATTTGAGAAACTCATTGGGATGAAATGTTCAGTCTGATTCTTAAGGACTTTTGTCCTTTCTAACTGAGAATGATCCCACTGAGGGGAACCAGAACTACCAGAACATAAAGACCTAAAATCTGATTCCCACTTTTTAAAACATCTTCAATCTGAAGACATACAGCCATCTTTCTCAACCCCTTTAAAGGGATCTTTCTCATTTTCTAGATATTTCATTAGTTTCAAAATGCCTGACGATTATTGGTTTGATTAAATTCTCTTCAATGCTTTACCTCACTGATATTTTCTCTCATGTTCTAAGTGTTTTGTCAAATGTAAATTTTTTGCCCTTAAATTCAATTTTTAACTATTATCTTAAATCCTTCTCCTGACACATAACAAACCTTTTCTCAGTGAGTCTCATATTATTCCCAAACACATTTATCTCCTCATCCCAATAGAGTTTATTTAGTTTAGGTTGTCTTTTTTTTACAAATGTTATCTTTTTACTGGGTCTGAAAGCATCATAAACATTATTTAACAATAAATGAGACTGACACTTTCCTATTTTAGATTAGTTAAGGTTACCAAACCATTTTTCTTTTTAAGTCCCAGAATAATGAGAGTGAATTAACTAAATGTTTTACTTATGGTTCTTCAAATCTTTATAAGTTCAGAGAACTGGTTTAGTGAATCAACATAAAATCAAGAAGATTCCATCCCAGCCTCTAAAGACTCTAACCACTTAAAGTTGTTCTGTTTTTATCAAATGTTTCTTTAAAAAGCAGAACCTGAATTTATCAAATGTTTAACAATGTTTTAGGAGCAGGAGAAATTGCTCAGCTACCCTCAAGCTGTAATTTGAGGGTCTGTTCTTAGTTATGAAGGACCTGAAGGAGAAAAAGTTTTGGTTTTTACAACAAGAAGGGATTTACACCAGATGAAAATTAAATATTCAACTTTTCAGTTAAAATATAGAACTGATTAGTTAGTTATCACTAACTAATGCAGAGTTAGTGATAAGAGGATTTTGAACGATGGACCCAACAGATAAGGAACAATTTTATGGCAGTAAAATTCCTCCATGCAGTTTTTCCTCTTCAGATCTGAAGCGTACAAACGAAAGACTCGTCCTCTTATTGTAGACAGAAAAACCATCAAACACTTTGCTCTGAGAGGTTAATTTGACCAAAGAGTCTCTTTAGATGCTTAAGAAGCATTAAACAGGAAAGGCCCACATTTTATGTTACAACAAAACTACTTTATCAGGCTCTGGTTTCCTGTCTATACATTATATTTACCTGGTTATGAACAAATTCAATCCTGTACTCACCTATTGGACTTCCAGTAACGACATGGATCCAAACAGAGACAATCAGACCAACACATATCCGACTCAAACCAGCGCCGTCCATGTTGGCGCTGGTTATGTTTCCCGTTTTCCAGCCTCGGGCGACTGACACTGAACTGATCAACTGAACCACAGGAGTTATGGATGACTTACAGTTTCCTTCACTTTCCTTCCCAACAATCATCTTTTATGACAGGCTGTAAAACCACATTGACCTTTGAGGTGAGGGCAGAAGGTCGTATACCACACCCTGTCTTTCAATTTCACTTGGAAAAATAAACACTATTCTATCAGAAAAGCAGACCTGGTTAAAATGAATGAATGAATGAATGAATGAATAGTAGTTAAAAAAGCTTCAGTTATTTCTAAGATGTAAGATATTTGGTTTTCTTTACCCAAGTTTGTGTTTTGTAAACTAAGTTACATAGATTTCCTCTTGAAATGTGTTTGAGGTTCAGTTCAGATATTTAGATAAATTATACTCCATATTTCTAGATGCCATTTTATTTCTGGTGAATTAGAACCACTGTGGAAACAAAGACCAGGGAAGCAGAGAGGAAATGAGAGCCTAATAAAAAGATTAAAATAAAGTGCTTTTTAGTTATGCTTTATTTATTAATTTATTCTTTATTCTGACTGACTTTATTTATTTTCTTTCTCTCCCTCTATTTTCCACTTCTACTCAAAATATTTGTGATGCATTTTAGAGAGTAAATGTAAAATAATAATGCAAATTACAAAATAACTTCTTTTAATCTACTATGATTAAAATAAGAAAAAAAAATCCAGATATGTTAAATAATTTTATTGGTTTTGTTGTGACACCAATTGATTGTGTTCATTGAATTGTCTTTGTTTTTAATGTATCCATTTAATGTGTACCTCCTTGTTTCTTTGTTTGGTTATTTTATTTCTGTTGGTGTTAGTAGTTCTCTTATCCGGTTATTTATTCAGTAAATCAATACCCTTTCTTGCTTTTTGTTAGTCTGTAATGTTTGTTGTATTTACACAAACATTAATTAAAAAAGAACTTGAATAAAAAATTACATTTGACAGGTTTCTAAGTTACATGTAAAAATCTCCCTTCCTGTTCTACTAGAAAATGATTTGCATAACTTTAGTCCACATAATGTTCTGCTATGGAACAACAGGGTGGTTCTAAAGAGACGCAAATCAAAATTCATGGAAAAAGAAATGTATCAAATTTGATTGGATAAATGATAAAGGCGATTTATTTATGAGGAATTTAGTAATAAATATAAAATAGTTGAATATTTGTGCTCTCGCCCTGAACGTTAGCTGGAGATGGGCACCAGCAACCCTCCCAACCCCGCCAAGGGACAAGGGTGTTAGAAAATGGATGGATGGATATTTGTGGTTGATATCATTCCAATAGCTATGATTAATTTAATCAGGAATAACTCAGATCAGACCCCAACCCTGAAACGGCATAAAATAATAATCATTGAGATAAACTGTGTAGACAAAAAGTGCAGTAACACTGAGAAAACTCTTAATGAAATCTATCTTGGGTTCTCTTTAAAGACCTTAAAAAACTATAAATTTGATCAATCAGATCTAATTCTTTTACCTTATCAATCTGACCTAAACTTAAAGAAACACACTATAAAATTGTAAATAACCATAAACCTATGTTATAAACAGAAACTTTCCATAAGTATTAAAGAAAAAATACATCCAAACTATTTGGACTGTTTCTGAGTTATTATCTTGGGGTAATAAATCATCTGACAGTTTTGACTGTGTCTCTTGTGTTTAGTGGTCTGAATGGTTTAAAGGGCCGTTTACATCTCAACATTACACAAACAGACATAATGATGCAGTTAATAAATCAATTTTCAATCAGTTTTAGCACCAAAGAATTTAGAATAACACATTTTCGCTGAGGCTCTTTCAATGTGTATATATTTGAAATTTTAAATTGACTGAATACAAAGTTATGGAGCCACTAGGGGGCTCCATAGACAACAGTATAGTTCAAATAATTCAGCTAATCAACAATAATGGGAATGTACGTAATTATTCTGAGTTCCTCCAGACTTTTGGTATTCCTGCTACCCCTTAAGAATTTGTTACAATTATAGATGTTGTTCCATCTGGCATCCTAACTTTATGAATGAAAAAGTGCTGAGAAATCAGTGTGTGTTCCTCACTTTGCTTTTGTGTTGAATCCACAAATAATAAACACAACATTAGGTCTTTGTTTCAAGCAGATAATCACCACCACCCCATCTGCTGCTCATTACTTGTCAGATATTGTTAAAGATCTGAACAATTCAATAGTTCCGTATATTGAACACAAAGTGTTAATGTTTCACAAGTTTCCGATCAGCACCCGGGAACCGCCCTCCAGCTGAAGACGAGCTCCTGGCTCCCTCTGGTGGACGATAGGAAACGGTGCAGGAAGCCAAAACCCCGGATTCCCAACAAGGCATGAACACCCTGGTGAAAAATAAATATTCTAAGTGTATTAACATTAGCATACTTGAAGTCAGACTAATCATCAGCATACGTCAAGTTAGTTAAAGATTAGTTAACTTGAAGTGTGTCATTCTGGCACTACTAATTTTATACTTAATGCATTTTAATAATAATTAAAGTGTAGAAAATCACAATTGAAAGTGTGTTAAGTGTACCATAGCATGCTTTTTCAGAACAAGTGAAGTTATACTTTGTATACTTTCAGTATATTGCTTTTTATGTCATATAAACATGCTTTATTAGTGTATTGTTGTGAATGAATTATATTTAAAATATATTTTGAATGTTTTTAAATATATAAGCATTACATATTTTATATATTAGTAGTGTGATTACAGTATGCTCCAATTTCACTTTTGATTTATTATAATTGCTTATGAAGATGAGATGTTTGATTGTTGTAGATGTTTGGAGCCACCTAGTGGTGTGATGAGAAACTGCATGCATCCTGTCCTTCAGGCGCTCTCACGGGTGGTGCGAGTGAAGCACCTAAAGTGAGACATATTTTACTTAAGGTCTTATATTTCTCGTTCAACACATTCACGAAATATTGTAAGCCGGACATCTAACATCTACGGATATAATTTGTAGGATTTTCCCGTGGTTGGGCTGGAAAAATATGACTTTATGAGGGGGAGATGCGCCGGTTGGTGTTCGTGGCTGACCACTCGGTCATGACACTTTTCAGCTGTGAAGCCACTTGCATGCAATTTGTAAAGAGTGATTTTGTGTGTTTGATACTAGGTGGTTCAGGGTATAAATATATATAAAGTTGTGTTTTGTGAATGTTGTGACTGTTGCAGTTGACTTGTATGTTAACTGCTATGGCAGTTGTCTGTTATTTTACTGTTTTGTGTTGTTGGATGTTATTTTTGAATGATTTATGGAAAAAGAATGTTTTGTTTTGAGGAATTGTTAACCGTTTTAAACTATTCGATCACATCTTTAAAAGAAAAAATTCTGAGGAATGCTGGTGGAGCTGTGAAGCCTCTTGCATGCAGTTTCGAGACACATTGAAAAGACTTACTGTGTTTAATACTAGTGAAAATGGTGACAACCGAGCGAGAGAGGTTACACTTAGCATTCTTTTAGTGAACACTTCAGCTAGAAGAAAAAAACTTCCAACATCAACATGTGAAAAGCTCAGCTTTATTTGTTTGATTTAAGCTTCACAAAACTGAATATTAAAACTGAAAGAAAGATGCTTTAACACAATATTATTTTACAGGTGTGCATGTTTTTGAAAAGGATTGCTGTATCTATTTTTCACTTTAATTTTCATTTGAATTAATTTGAAAAAGGTTTGAAGTGATGAACCTGAGGTCACCTGATTATTAAAGACAGTAAACCTGCAGCTTTTGATTAACATGATTAAAACCAGGACTCGTGACTCAGACAGTTTTCAGGAATGCTTTAATTTATTTGTTCATTTTATATACAACAAAAACGGCTAAAATGTCAGTCGGCTTCTGCAGCAGGTAAAATTTGCATCAACATTTTGAAAGGTCTGTGGAGACATTTACACCCAAACTGTGAAATTAGAAAGTAAGAAATAATCACAACTTAGCATTAAAAAATGACTTAAATTACAGTTTGTTTTTCAGTATTTCTCACCTTCTTCCAAAATGTATTGATTTCAATCGATCAATTTTATTTGTTCAGCACATTTCAGCAACAAGGCAGTTCAAAGTTCCTTATACAGTAAAAATACAGTTAAAATACATATAAAGTCATAGACCAGTCAGTCTGGGAGCCTTTATAAAAGACTCCAAGACAAAAAGCAGTATGACATTCTGATTGTGTAACAGATTGTTGACTGATGTTTCCAGGCGAGGAGCTGGGGGGGACAGGGAGGGGGCAGTGGTGCCCCAGGGGGGTAGAGCTTCAATTCGTTTTTATATCCGAGTACATCCAAAGAAAGTGGACCCTCTCCTGTTGAGTAAGGTATATGTAGAATAACATAGAGATGGTACCCCAGTAAATTATATAGTAGGCTTGCCCAGTCACTGTTTCACTCATGGTTTTTCTGATATTTTCTCCAAGTGTTTTCTGGGTAAAAGAGACTAACAATACGTTTCGTCCCGGTTAATTGGCCTCTCCAAACTCTCCCTAGGTGTGTGTGTGTGTGTGTGTGTGTGTGTGTGTGTGTGCATGGTTGTTTGTCCTGTGTGTCTCTATGTTGCCCTGTGACAGACTGGTGATCTGTCCAGGGTGAACCCCGCCTCTCACCTGGAACGTTAGCTGGAGAGGCACCAGCACCTTCCGACCCCACTAAGGGACAAGGGTGTTAGAAAATGGATGGACATTTTTAATAAAACAGACTTTCATTAATTTGATATATACAGTCATTAATCTAGAAATGGGATCCAATTCATCTGCAAATCTTCACTCTGAAATAGAGACAAACTGATGTGCTTGAAGAATACTTTGAAGTCAAATAAAAATAAAATAGATTATTATTCTGGTGCATAAAGGCAGTACTGTGTCCTAGATCTTCCAGGCTTGGTTTGATGTCCCGTCCTCATCAGGGAGTCGTCTCAACGAACATGGATTTGTTCACATCTGTAACACAAACAAATGATTAGCCTTTTGTTTAAATGGTTGAATTGATGAGATATTTCATTTAAACATTTCAAAGATGACATCTACCTCCAACTGCAATGAAAGGGACTTCCTCCGTTCTTCGATGTGTTGAATTTTCCTGAAATGCAAGAAAACATATCAGTTGAAAAGTTATTTTTTATTTTGTTGTTTATTTAATAGGGATAATAAATGAAGAACATCTAATGCTCTCATCACAGTTTTTATAGCCATAGCTAATTTGCAACACCCGTCCCTATAACACAACAGCATATTAGGGTGGATAGAAAAAAGGAGTAAATTTTCTAGAACAAATAGGGAAATTTCTGAGGTCCTAAAGTCAAAAATGTTCACCATTCCAAACTCAGAAATTTCTGTTTTTTTTCTACAACATTTCTGGGATAAATCTCAAAATTTCAGTTTTTTCTGGGAAATTTTCAACTTTTCAAACTTAGAAATTCCCATTTTTTTTCTTCAAAATTTCTGAGATTAATCTTGAAATTTCTGAATTTTCTGGCAGAAATTTACTCTTCCTTGTTTTTTCTTTCTACAGTGGCCCTAATAAGGCATTGCACTGTGGGGCCCTTTAGTAATTTTTTAAATGAAAAATTAAGAATAAAATAATGAAAAAGAGACACAAAGCAATGTATTTAAAACTACTGAATCAAAAACAATTACATAATCTAATGATGGGTACATTTTTTGGTTCATGTTACACTTTGAAGTCAATATTTTAATGTCAGTTATGGTCTTAAAATCAGATTTAAGACGAGTTCAAGACGAGTTAAGATGAGTTCAAAAGCTTTCAACTCTGAATATAGAAGACTGTTATTCCAAAGGTTTAACTGCAAAATGGTATTTATAGTCATGATTTGAGCTTCTTATAGTGACCACTGCTGCTCTCTCTGTTAGGTTCCGTGTTTCTGTGTGTTTATTTTTGAGTTTCTCTGTGTTCAGTCCTGTGTTCCTGTGAGTCTCTGTCCTGTCCTCC